CATCAGAGAAGCAAAAATGCCTTGGTGGATTGTTTGGCTGAACACTTAGTCAGGGTATATTGTAATGAGCCATATGCTAGCTTTGCACAGTATTATGTGGTAAGCCAGCTGCAACATGCAGCTGATTAGACTGGTTGGAAAAATCTTCATTTTCCATAACAGGAGGCCAGCAAAGGCAAGCATTCTGTCAGATACCATCAACCCTCTGATTGCTCCTGTCATCTTGCTGTGGATTAGATGAAGTTAAGAGATCAAGGAACCTCTGCTTTATTTTCATCCTAAAGGAGGAAGCCTCTTTTAGCCCCAGGCTTGTTTAACAGTAACTGTTTTTATGAACTATAACCCTCTTATATTCTTATGGAAGAGGTTTCCACCACCTCTTCCCACCGGTGCCGTTCTCACAGCCTCAGTCACAGCTCAGTTATTTGCAATTCAGCATTCAGCTCAGATGATGTGTTGGAAACCTCCTGTGAGTTAGGGGGATAGAGGTCAGGAGGGGATGGAAACCTGATGAAGTGCAAGAGAACAAAAGTGGCTGTGCAACAGGACAGTGAAATCCCATTTTTTTGACCCAAATCCCATCTCTTGCTATGGCCAAAAGCTGATGCTTAGGCAGGAATATCAGAAAAGAGGGTGAGTATTTCCTCCAGGTACCAGCTTTGAACAATTTGCCTCTCAGGGACTTTCCAGAGACAGAGGTGTTTCCTCTTTGCATTAGATAAACTTTAGATGAATTTGTACTTGTCGATTCTTCACTCAAACCCACTTACCTTCTGTCATCCACAGCAGGCTGGGCTATGGAGTTTCATAGCTTACAACGTCCACTCATGAACAAGCTGAGGCTTCCTCCATCAGGAATAGATCTTTAGATCTCAGCTGTGCTGAATGCTGAATCCACAATTTGTGTGGCCACACTCTGAACAGGTAAGAAATCTTCTGCTCGAAGGTGAGAGCACCAAAAGTCCTTTTACAGTCTTTTTTCCAAACTATTATTGGTTATGTTTCTAAGGCAAAATTAACAGCCATTGTCAGAATCTACTACAAATGAATATAACAAATCTGGAAACACAATGCCAATGAACCAGAATGAGTTTTTAGCCCTAAGATATCTGATTTAACTTCTTTCTTTTTTTTTTTTTTTTTTTTTTTTTTTTTTTTTTTTTTTTTTTTTTTTTTTTTTTTTTTTTTTTTTTTTTTTTTTTTTTTACGGAATGGAACATAGCTTTGGGTTATCTCTTTGCATTCACGTGTATGTGGTGCTTTGAATGCTCTGGGTCATCATTACATACAGATAGAAAAGGGCTGAATGTGTCTGAAAAATAAGCCATGCACCTGTCTCAGTTTTGGCATACCCAGATGAATTTGATGTGTAAGTGTCTACAGAGAAACAAAGCCGTGAAGCAGTAGAAGAGGGGGGTTGGGAGCACGTGGAAGAGTCTAGGGGATACCATATTTATGGCTGAGTAAGAAGCCTGAATCTCTCTCATTAAAATAAAAATCCCCCACAGACAGGATTGTTAAGGGTATTCTTATTTGACATGGTTATTAATGAGGAGGAGGAGGAAGCAAATTGCTTCCTCCTAATGAACTTCACAGACAATAATGCTCTGGGAAGATCTGAGGGATCCAGCAAGGACAGATCATTGGCCAGGCGCAGTGCAGTGCTATCATTATGTCAACAAAATGCTGAAACCTCTAAACATTACATCTCATCCTTTCCAAAGCCAGTGGCCTCACCAGACAGACACCTTCAATTGCCAGTGAAATTCAGGAAGATGAAGAAGCTCTTTTCCCACTAAATTCACCATATGGACATTGCAGAACGTGACATGAGGTGATCTGCATGTTTGGGTCATAGGATGATGGTTTAAGGGGTATTTTACTTCACCTAGTCAGTTCTTCATCTCCTCCCCCTATGCTCTGCCTGGCTTCCTTGCCTCATACCTCTGGTCAGTCCCCCCCAGATACACTCCTGCCAAGTCCCTCCTTCAGGATGACCCTGAAATACCACCCTTTCTGCCAACAATTCAGATTACACTGAAAAACTGAAAAGCCAAATCCCTACTAAAATCAGGCATTTTTGGTGGTGTGACCAAAATCTCAAAGGTTTAGAATGAAGTGGGAATATGAGAGGCTCTGTCATAGTTGTGGCACACAAACTACAGAACCATAAAATAGTTGAGATTGGAAGTCACTTCTGAGATCATCTAGTCTACCTCCTCTGCTCAAGCAGTGTCAGCTAGAGCAGGTTGTCCACGACCATGTACAGTTGGGTGTCCAGTATCTCCACAGATGGACACTCCATAACCTGTCTAAGGCAACCTGTTCCAGTGTTTGACCACCCTTGCAGTAATATATATAGATAAATGCATAAAAATAATTGTATTCAGATTGAGTTCCATGAGTGTTTCTTAATTTGTTTCCATTTCCTCTTACCCTGTTGGGAGGCAGCACTGAGAAGAGCCTGGGCTCCTCCTCATTCCTTCTCATCAGATATTTACACACATTGGGAAGTTCTTCACTGAGCTTTCTCTGCTTTAGGCTACACAGTCCCAGCTCTCAGCCTTTTCTCACATGACAGATGCTTCAGTCCCTTAATCATCTTCACGGTTGTCCACTGGACTCTGTTTGGGAAGCAGCAGCACAAGAGGAGAGAGCTCCCTAACAGCTGTTCTCCGCAGGTGCAGGGCATTGTTGCACCATGTTGATGTGCCTAAAACCAACATGTACACTTCGGTACAGTCAGGACTGGGGGCTGCAGAGTCAGAGGCGTTACCTCAGCAGAGCCATGGCAGGAGCAGAGTAAGAGGACCATCTGAAAGGCAGCTCACGAGGAGGTGAATACAGCAGAGAGCTGCCAGTTCTAATTGGTGCCCTTGCAGAGGGCAGAGCCTGTAGCTCGGGTGGCTGTAAGGAAGCAGGGAACCTGGGAAGAAAAACTCCCAGGCACAAGTCTGGAGGTCCCAAGTGAGAAGGAGGAGATGAGAAGTGCCTGAGGACTGCAGAGAGCACAGCAATGCAGAAGGCAGTACCCTAGGGAGCCAAGTACCATCTCCTTCCCGGCTCTGTTTACCTTTGCTCGAGAGTTGAGGAGGGGCTGGGGGCTTGATGGCAAAGGCAACAGTTCTCTCTGTTGCTGGGCAAGCTAGAATAAAGTTGTGGTTGCCAAAGAGTGTGATTGAACTGACTGGGAGAGCGAGAAGGATACAGGGAGATGAACACAGAGCGTCCCAAGCACCAGGACATCTCCACATCTTAGCTGAGCAATAAAATGAGACAACTGCGGTTGGGTGAACAGCAGAAAGGTCCTGACATTTCAGAAATCCTTTGCTGCTTTGCCTTTAATCAATCTCTACTAAGCCTCAAATATGAAAAGAAGTGCTTAGGGCAAAGGTGAATTTCATATTAAGAGTAAATTGCTTTGATGCTTGTCAATTCGCCAAGATTTTTACAGCAAGGAAATCGTATTATTTCCTGGCTCCTGGCATGATCCTAAAGGTCATATCTCACGACACAACTCTCTTCCTTTCTCTCCAGCTGTTGCCCATACAATAAAAGACACAAGCATAAAGATGTTGCTGCTGTTTCTTGGTACCACAAGGTAAAAAAGTCTCAATAGTCATTTGTTTCACGTTCCTGGAGTTTTATTGTACAGATAGAATGGAAATGGACCCTGAAAAGCTCACTGCCATTTTGCATGAATTTCAGATGTATTTATCTTCCATTCCCTGTGCAGCAGAGTTTGTGTTCCTTCACAAACCAGAGCCACTACTTTTAACTGTGAAATGCTACCACATGTTCACAATGAAGGCTCTCCAAATGCTTTACATAAAATACATTACAACTACACTTTTGTAGAGACTGTTGTAATGGAGAAAGGCATGTGCTCACCACGCATTAAATCAAGAACAGCAAGATTTGTGTACGTCCAGAAATGGTCTCTAGTGGCACCTACACAATAGTCTTATGCCACAGTTGGCTTTTTTTTCCCCCCAACTACTAGCAGGTATGCTATGAAGTATCATTACAGAATATTCCACAGTTGTCAGCACTTCAGGGTCCTGCATGAACTGACAGAACTTCAGCAGCGTGCACTATGTGGGTACAGCTTCCCAGATACAGGGCTAACACTGTTCAGAATCACAGAATCAATTAGGTTAGAAAAGACCTCTGAGATCTTCGAGTCCAACCTATGACCAAACACCATCACGTCAAGTAAACCATGGCACTGAGTTCAACGCCCAGTCTGTCCTTAAGGGACACTTACCAGGGACAGTGACTCCACCACCTTTCTTGACAGCCCCTTCCACTATCTATGGAGATTCCACCTTTTCTGTTAAGAATTTCTTCCTAATGTCTAACTTAACAGGTGCAAACCCGCTGGACAGAGACTGTAACTTCACTGTGCTCTTTAGGATGTGCTCTTCACCGGACGACGAAAGCTAAGCTGCAGCACGGAGGATGCCCTAAACTCCAGAACCACCTCGCCAGCACGGACCCAGCGCAGCCTCCTCCTCCGGCCCGCAGCGTGTGCCTTGGTCTAACCCAAGCTCCAGGGGTAACACCTCTCCGCCCCTTCCCTTTCCAAACAGCTGGGACCAGAGATGCTGCATCTCGGGAGGCAAAACATCCCCCTCCACCTGCACCCCCCTCCCCAGTCCCGCACCCGCTCACAGCCCAGCCCGAGGCAGCTCCGCGCTGCCACCCTCACACAGCCCCCGCAAGCCCCCTCAGCTCTCTCACGCAGCCCCTCACACCCCACCGAACGCACTCCCACCCCAAATTATTTAATCCCGGGCCGTGCGCGTGCGCTAGCGCCCCGCGCGCTTCCGCTTCCCCGGCGGGCGCCCGGGAAAGAAGGAAAGAAGGAGGGAGAGAGGGAGGGAGGCGGCCGCATCCTGGCTGCTCTTCCCAGCGCCTGCGCACGAGCACCCCATCGCGCCTCCTGCCCTTTCCTCCTCCTTCTCATCCTTCTCCTCCTCCTCCTGCTGCCCCGCGAGGGCCCGGCCGCTGCTCCCCGCCCCGCCCCGGGGATGCGCTGCCCGGCGGGCGCGGAGCGGGATGGAGGTGGAGGAGGCGTTCCCGCTGGTGGGGCAGATGGGCCCCTATCAGGTGTATCTGTGCGTCCTGCTGGCCGTGCTCCTCCAGGTGAGAGCCCGCCTCCTCCCCTCCCGCCCCTGTTCCCGGGGTCCGTGGGGGCGGCAGTGCCGGGAGGGAGATGTTCTGGGTGCTGTGGGCAGCTGTTCTCCAAAGTGTTGGGCGGGTGTGTGTCCCTGGGGGACGTGGGTGGATGTCCCTGCGGTGAGTGGTGCCTGGTGCGAAGGCTGGTATGGGAAAGCTTTTGCTGTGGTCGTAGCTGGTCTCCTGCTCTGGATCTAACCAGCATCAGTGTGCTGTGCTCCTGGGACACGGGTGACCTCTATCCAAAGGCAGGGCGAAGTTCTGCAGAGTGAATTTGGGGCGGCTGATGCTCTCCGTGCCGCATTGCCTGAGCAGTTGTGCCTTGTGTCACTCACTGAGCCCCCATTAGGAATTTGGAGTTTGTCAGGTGAAGGGCTGGTTGGAGTGAAGTTAAGCTGAGGTTTCCATGAGCTAGACTAGAAGGCGGCAGTTTCCCAACTCTGCTGGCAATCCTATGCAACCCTAAGTTAATGGCTTAGGCTAGGGATTTCTAGGTTACGTGTGGCTTGATTGTCACTGATAAAGTGGCAGGTGGTCAGTGATACCTCTGTTTGCAGAAGGTCTCATCTAATCAGCTGGTAGGTGAGGACTGCTTATGGTACTTTGATTTGCCTTGACTTGACTCTTGGAGTGCAGGGACAGGGTCTCTCCCTAAGCTATTGGATGAAGGTTAGGGTTAGGGTAGTCAAGTTTGTGTTCTGTGAGATACAAAACCGGAGCTTCCTCTTTGTGCATATTCCTATGAGGGTAGGGATGGAAAATGACAATATTACGTGTACCTTCACAGTCAGGCCTATGACTGAAGTAAGTTTGAATCTAACAGAAGTCTGGCTCACTCCTGGTTAGCATCCAAAGCTTAATTGTTGTAAATTCAGCTAGGTTGACAAATGCTGAGTTACTGCCACTGGGGAAATTTAATAGCTGCAGGAGGGAAGAGGGGAAATTTAGTCTCTTCCCACTTCTGCTGGCCCGTATTTTGTAGTAATCAAGAACTTCCACTCCTGAGCTGTGACACAAGATATCTTCTCCTGACAGCTGGGGAACTGACTGAAATACTAAGAAGCTTTATGAGATGACCATAGAAAATGCAGATGCCCCATCTTGTTGGAGGGGAACTCCGTACTAAGTTGCAAAGCTATAGTGATGAACAGCAAAAGCTTTGTAGGTTTCTATTTCCTCCCTATTTTCTAAACTGATTTAGCTGATTAATCCTTTAAAACTAGATATTGCTTAGAGCTTGTTCTGCTGTCTGAGTGGCTAGAAAATTTATATGCTCACTGAAGATTAGGAATTAAGGAAGCAGTAATTACTTTTTCTTCCAGTGCTGGTTGTGCTCTGGAATGAACTGCAGCCATGACAAGTGTTCTGTGTTTCCAGAATTTTAAGTAGTATGGGTCAGCTGTTCTGTAATGTTTGTGTTTGTCTGTTTTGTTTTTAATGGATTAACTTGCATTTCTCACGGGAGGAGCAAACAGAAGGATCATTGCAAATCCCAGAACTAATTCAGAATAACTAAAGAAAAAAATGGCAGCAGGTCTGCAGGTCTTTTTTTTTTCTTCTCATGTTATTTTTAATTCTTGAACTTTACCAAAGAGGATCATCCTTTGACTGATATATTTTCTTTGCTTCAGGTCATTCAGGCACAGGAGTCTGTAAGGGGTTTAGATGTGAAGCTTGTTGTCTTTCAGTCCATGAATAGATTTGGACTTATACAACTGGTTACTGCTTGGGTGGTTGATTGCTTTTTGTGTTCCTTTATTGGTGCCAAGTTACATAATGTGTCACTGGGATGTGCAAGAGCAAGACTGAAGGCAGGTTCCACGACCGATATTAGTCTTTTGTCTGGTTTACCATCAACCTTTGGAGGATGGACCCCAAGGTAAGTAATGTCTGGTGTGTGTGATGTAGATTTAGGTAATCCTGGGCTCCTTTAGCGGACTTGATGCAGCATCTGTCATCAGAATGAGAACTCCTGGTAGTCTTTGTCACGGGCTCTGCCGTGGGCTGATTGTTCCATGCTTGTTTGCCTCTCCCTTCCCATGGTCTCCCTCAGTTGGCCTATATTTTAACATTGGCCTGCATTTTTGTGTTGATCTGTTGGTATAAAAAATATTTCTGCATTCTTAAAGACAAGAATATCCCATGTGTGAAAAATATTTTTATCTTTGCTAAGTCCCTTAATCTTTGATGCCTATATCCTGAGCTTAAACTCTGTGCTTTCCCTTCCCAGTAAGATTCCCAGCAGATGCTCTAACTTTCCTTGTAGGCTTTTGTGCTTTTTCTTCTCTGCATGTTACTAATTTTTTTGAGTTTTATACTCTATAAGTACTTTCCCTCACTTTAGTGTTTTTCTTATATAAATTTCTACAGTAAACTATTTCCATAGGAGTATGTAGTCTTATTGACATGCCAACGTATCTGGTCTCTGAATTCTAATTACAAACATGGTTTAGCTCACAGAACTTGTTTAAGGCACCAATGGGGTGAGACTTTCCACATGAGTCAATTTTCATGTGGGGTTGCATGAACTGGTACTTGACCTGTGGAATGAGCTTACTGACATTCTGGCTAAAACCTCCAGGTTGCTTGTAGTCAGAAAAATGTTTTTGTGTGTTATCAGTGTAAAACTAGATTAAGTGTAAGTCTTGTGAGCTGTTTCTTTCATCTTCCCTGATTTGTATAATTCCTCTGCTACCTGCTGCTGTTATTCATTAACCTGTTGAGCTGTTACTGTATTAAGGTATGCCTGGCTTATTCACTACCAACCTAATTGGAATTTGGAAGATTTTTAGGAATGTTCTGTAGCAGTGGTTGCTAGCTTTATAATGGATTGATGACAGCTAATGTAGAGAAACATTTTTCCAAATTATATGGAATTACACAAAGACTGAACTTACCTGAAGAATGTGAAGGTAGACTAATGATGTGAATTTGAGGATGGACTAGTCTTGCACTTCCAGTATGTAAAGTGAGGGAGAAATAAAGGGAGCTTATAACTGTTAAAAAACTTTGGACTTTATCTTGAGGTCAAAGTAATTGCTTGACACCTGTTGATTACTGGAAAGGTGCTCACAATCTTTTGAAGAAATGATATTGTAGCATTATTAAAGAATGGTCTTTTGGTGTTTGTTTAGTGCGTGTGGCAATATGAGACAAAGTCTTACACCTTGATCAGATGCTTGAGAGCGTTCAAGCATATTTAAAAATAAGTTTCTTGGTCTCTAATGATTGAACATAGGCAGTTGAAAAAGGTTTGCCTTTGCTAGTGAATCTGAGCTACAGGATTGCCCAAGTCCAAATTGAACCTGCAGAAATCTGAGAATGGAAGTGTGTTCCTACTATATCTCTACTGAAAGGCTTTTAAAAACATGTTAGAGTTTAAAAGGGAGTTCTTGTTTGCACAGCTGAAAAGGGCTTTGCCTAAAGTTGAGTAATGTGCGTTGCACAGCAGTATGGAGAATTACCAAGGGTAGTTTTTCCTTCTGTTTTAGGCACTCATTGCTAACTGAAGGGAAGATGGAAAAACATTTAAGATAGTTACATCAAGTTGCTTGAATGGTAGTTTGCTTTAAGGCAAAGGCATTCTTGATGAAGTGCAGCTACAGTGAGCAGTGTTACTAACATCTCTTGACTGTTAACAGTAATATCATGTATCTCTTCTGTCATTACAGTATCCCAGTGCAGAAAGATGCTCCTTAATCTGCCCATCTGCACAAATGTTATGAGGGAAAGTAAATCCTGGGACATGTGACTTAAGTAAGGCGGGTTCATCCTGAATATTTAGAAATAAGTCAGAAGAAATAGTGTCTGTTTTCTGACAGGATACAGATGTGATCCCATATGTAGCCTTGTTTAACTCTGTTTCTTGACATTTCTTATCTACATCCTCTACATATTCTACCTTTTTTAGTGGCATGAGGCATAACTCTGTAGTTGCAATTATGGTAATGAAACACTTTGTCAGTGAATCTTCTCTTAATACTTTAATACTTTGCTTGAGTATATTAAGCTGCTCTTTGACAGAATTGATCAAAAATTAAACACCTTACTCCCAGTCCTTGGTGATGTTCACTATTAGGACTTCATTTGAATAGGAAGTGCAAAACAAATCTGAAATTTAATGAACAGTTTAAAATTAAGGAAAGAGAGGGGTATTACACAAGTTGCATTACAATTGCTAGTAAAATGTGCTGCAGTTGTTCCAGAGGCTTCATGACAGGTATTGTGTTTACCCAGAGTTATTTGCACCATAACTTAGACACAACTCAAAGTATAAGTATCTGTAGGGCAAGTAAGCAAAGTGGCAGATATAAAAAGGATTTACAGAATTTCCGTGTAACCGTCTTTCACTTTGATTACCTCACTGTTTGACTTTTTTCTTTATGCCTGCAGGAGAAGTAAGAGCTCTTAAGTCCCTCTGATTCTCAGGGAAGCAGTTGCAGAATGTGTGTCAGATGTGTACAGCCACATATGTGGAGGGGTGATTTCAAATATGGTGTGGATACAAACATGAAAATAGGGACTGCAGGTTTGTTTTTTTTTTTTTTTGTTGTGGAGATCTTCATATTCCCCCATCTTTATGTTCATTACTCAGAACATGCTTATGATAAAGGGTGGTGTTGCTTTTCTTGTAGATGTGATGAAGGCTTTTAGAGTAGTTGCATCACTGAATATAAATCCTTGTTCTGGTATACTGTATTCCTGCTTGGGAAGAAAAATAAACTAGATGGGTATAAATAATGCAGAAGTGTATAAACTGTTAATGCAGAAAGATGTGCTGCTACTCATTCAGCTAAGAATATTTCTACGTGAAAGTTGGTGGAATTTTTAAGTGAAGACTAATCCTACAATTTGCTTGAATTGGCTGAGGGGAATCTTCTGTGGATTAAAAAAAAAAATGGTAGTTGTTTGGTCATGTGACATTTCAACGATTTAGATGCTAACCAAGGCTCCTTGATTCTTTAGTC